AGAAGGACTACGGGGACGCAAAGCAAACACGTAGTCCTGAACCACCTCCTACATAAATGGCTTTAATTGTGATAGCATCAAAGATCTCCGAGCACAGCTTCTCAAGGTACAGGATTGGGAACATGATTACGATCCAAAAAATATCATGACTTTGATTGGGTCAAACATACTGTATTTTCATTTGTGAGACTTTATGAGTCAAGAAACCTAAACAAGATCCAAAAAGAAGCCTGGTACAATAGTCATGTTTGGTCGCTTATTGATACCATATTCGATGATATAAAAACGCTACAGGTTATTCGGTAAATAAAACAAAAAGATCGGCACGGACAGCTGTATATTAATTTTATTGTTTCGTAGCGGCGAAGCAGCAAATGCTGCAAGTACTAGAAGAAAAAATATTGATAGAGTAATTGGATCTAAAGATATTATCGCAAGAGCTTTTACTGGTTATAAATGTGATCTAATTGTAAGAGAAGAAAAAGCCGAGCATGAATATGCAGATGAATATGGAGTTGGTGAAACTGCTGTACATAACCTAAACACTAAGACAGTCGAAGAAAAGGGGATAAAACTGCCAAAGGTGATAAAAGATATGTTAGATAAATTGACTACAAGTAATCAAAACGAGTCTAAAGGCCTCTCAGTATTTGGAGTTCAAACTGCAGGTCTATCTATAACACTATTAGCTGCTGACAGACCAACTCCTTACATTACAAGAATAATAAAAATCAAAGACCTGTCTATATCAAGCGACGAATCCCACTTTACTAGAAGCATTTTACCGTTGATAGTTTTAATATGGCAATTTAAACAGCAAATATTAAAAGTGAAAGAACAAGTATTATCCACTCAGAAACGTAATTACCCAAAGGACACCAGCGAATGGTTAAATGCCTGTTTAAATTATGATGATGTAGCCGTTATGCCTGTCACCTCGACTTCAACTGAATACGTGAATAAAAGAAGAAAGGTTGACTCTTGAATCAACTGCTTATCTTGGATAATTTGTGAGAATACATGCTATACCTCACTGTCTGAAGTCAACTTATGCAATGTTTTTATCGGAATTCTCAAATATCTGTTTATGAACTTATATTTCAAGTAAATCAGTTTTGACAGACTACTAATAAAATTTCTTTTGTACGCTGTTTTTAGGACTTGCTTTGACAGTTTTTGAGCATCAGTGACATTAAACTGATATAAATAAAGGCTGCTACATCTTTCTCTTGTCTTAATAAACTCATATATATAAGTATAATTTACATAAATGAAAAAGTCGGTTCCAAAGTAAGTCCCAAAAAAGTACGAAGGGGCAATTTCAGAAGGTTCCACCAAAAAGATCAATGGTTCTGCTCACGTTAGGACGCTTCTATTTATTAAATGTGTGAGAACCATGAGAGCCATAATGAGAGCCATGGGAGCCATAATGAGAGAGTTGATACTTACGACGTCCCAGATGAGTCCATGCACTGTTTTAATGCCTTGGACGACATTCCTGAGTACGAACCCATGGAAGTTGAGAATATAAAAGATTTGTACGAAACTACAGAATTTGAATGACATCACTGGTATAAATGAGAGGCTGCCTGAACTAGAAGTGAAGAAACTTTTGGATTTGAAGAGCTATCAGGCATATCACCAGACACTGAAGAACAATCAGTCAGAAGCAGAAGCTCAAGGCACTGTAGAAATTGAGAATGGCTTGAAGCAACGCAAGAAGAAAGCCCCAGCAAAGGTCCGAGGAGCGTATATATCTTATTCACCTGAACAAGCACAAGAGCTTCTTGGAAACGCTTGCCTGGCGGTACGAAGCAACGAGTAAGTTGGGAGAGAAAACTCAGGCCTCGTCATACCGATTTTCTGTATGAGTTTTATGGTAAGACTCCACAAGCTGTGCTTTGACAGGCAAGAGATGCGTTGCTTGAAGCTTTTCACGAAATTGGTTCGATTACATTATCAGCTCTTCATAGACATCTCATCCTACATGCCTATTTAACTCTTGAGAAGCTGGAACCAATTGTATCTTCTAGAACGGCTCTTAGTAATCTTAAGCCGCGTAGAAATAAGTTTCTTGAGTGGAAAAATGATGAAAACATGAACTGGCACGAAAACTTGCATTTTCATTGATGAGGCAGGTTTTAACATGTATATTCGTAGAAATTTCGGTAGATCAAAGAGAGGAGTGCTCGTAATGAACATTTCCTGGAGTTTTTGGTTGGTAACATGGATATTTTGGATCAATTTGACATGAAGGGGCGCTATCTTGTTATGGACAACGCTGCCATCCATAAAGTTACTGAGGTTTAGAGTCTGATCGAATCACCATGTTTGAACCCTATTGGGTTGTTCTGGTCCAAAGTCAAGGATGGCATTAGGAGAGATTGCCTGACTGTAGATGACAATCTGAGTGCTAGAATCATTGAATCAACCAAAACCATATCTGTTGATGACTGTGTAAATTGAATAAGCCATTCGTATTCATTTTTCGATAGATATCTGGCTCTTGATCCAATGCTCTGAGAATACAAAGTAGAAAATCTATCCGCATAATAAAAATCGCTGTACGCAAAATAAAAACAACTATCCGCAAACCTATAGTCAAAAACCAATATACATGTAATTGATTATTTCAGGACAATAAACACACATGCATATCAAAAAGAAGAAAGAAGAGATGAAGATCGCTGTGTTGAATGACTCATGAGTACCCTCCAGCTTATCTTTTTGTTAAATGTCACACAGTTTCAATAAAAATACTATCTCCTGTCATATTTGATAGATATTTTTATGATCGTATCGTTGTATCATCAATTTGTGTAAAAACGAGGATGTTCAATTAGGCTTAAAAGGCATCTACAAGAATGGCGTCAAAACTCAGCCGAATCCCACAGAGGAATCTATGCCAACCAATCAATGATCACAATTAAGTCCACGAGCAGTGAAATTGTCTTAATCATGGTAACCGTACCCCCTCTCTTTTCTTTCTACTGACTTTTGCAGGTGGATTTGCGTTGAACGAAATAAAAATCGACGCTGACGGCAAAATAATTTTGCGCTGTGCTAAGAGATAATCTTTACGTTACTCTAAATATGAATTTGGCATTGATCGGTCATAATAGTTGCGCCAAGGATATGTCTTATTCAATACAGAATTTAGTAATCACGATGAATGACTTTGGCGTGCGTATGACTGACAGCGAATTTATATCGGATGACGATGTCAACTCTTTGTCTGAAGATTCTTTCCTTTCTCAAACAAAGTCCTTTTCTTCTGTATATACTACAGTCTTTTAATCCCCTAGATCTTCAGATCCCATACAAAAAAAGACAATACATTTGGTGAGATGGTTAAACTCATTCGGCTAGGATATTTATTTTAAACTTGATTTAGTTATTTGTAAGAGATAAAGATACTGTATTTTTATTAAAAGCAAGCTCACTTTCCAAGTATACAATAGCTTGATTGTCAGCTTGAATTGTTCATCGATTTCATGCAGACTTGTTGGAATGAATATATCCCCAAGCTTCTTCGCGATGAATACATTGTCTTCTTTTACAATGACATTAATGCATCCATTTCTACCAACCCAATCGGAATACATCAAGATAAGAGGATTTCAATTGCTATCGTTTTCTTCATGAGGAAACCTAAGTAATGCTTCTAAAATGGAGGCGTTTACTCTCAAGTTTTTGCTTTCTTGCCTTCTTGCGACAGAAGGGCTTACATTCTCTGCTTTCTACTCGCAAGAAGAGACATTTGTTTTGAATGAAGATAGCAAAAGATCAATCCTGCGTCCCATGTGTTGTATTCAGCTTTAGTTATAATTTAAAAAGACAGTTAAGTCGATGGCTTGCGAATTAGATTATTAAGAAGAGCTAAATATTATTAAGTTTGTGCGAGAGTTTACTTGGGTAGAGAGTCTATGACTGCTGTTTATATTATTGTTGTCACTGACATTATTTATGCTTATATTGTTGTTATACTAGTAGGTACTATAGTTATTATTATTATAAGTTATTCTTATCAGATGCGATAGAGGGATGTAAAGTAGAATGCATGCTCTACTGTAAGATTATACTCGAGTTATTATAATGATTATCTCATCAAACGCGTCACCGTGATGTTATGCTCGAATCCAATGCTTCATTACTAGCGTATGCCTCCTCATTCTCTTCACGCGCATTTTTGGATTCAGCACATGCTTGTTTCCTCAGCTTGCACTTGTATTTACTTCCACGAAACACAACCTTCAAAATACTGTAACAGCCTTCCATACATTCTAGCTCACTTTCGTTCCCATTCAAATAGTATATGATGCTTTGTATCCTGTAATAGCGGTTTAGTCACTTAACTTTAGTAAAATAAAATAAAATCATACTTACAAAGTTTCTAAAATTTCAATAATATATAATTCTTCACAATCTAACTCCTTTTTTCTGTACTCATGCCTTTTTTCACTCAAGTATATCAAAGCTTCATGTTCGGGTTGTCTTTCATGGTCTGATTTTTGACCTTCATTCTTCAATATCTGCAAAGCAAATCGGTGGATGATTCTCAGTTGACTAGGTCTATTTTGCGCTACTTACCCTCATAACATTGGTATATATTTCGTTACTTCCTTGTGTTAAATTATATATGGGATATGATAGCTTTTCGAGTTCAGACCAGCGCGCATCTGGGAACGCACTTTTGCAGTACTGTGACATCCAATCGTGAATTAGATCAACAATTCCTGATAACGAAATACTGTATGGAAAGTAGTTTAATTTAAAGCATTATTTAATTTGACAGAAAAAAATTATATTACCGTAAAGTTTGACCAAGGACTTCATCGTTATCCACCCAGTTTTGTAAAATAGAAATAGAAAGATGGCTCAAATTGTCAAAAAAAAATGTCGTGGATCTTAGTGATGGTTTTCTTCTCTTCTATAGCTAATTAATACCACAATGAGTGTTTCCTTCTATTTGGAAGATGGCTTAGGAAGCAATGTTGATGAATTTGGGAATGAAGATCCTTAAAAGCTGGAAGAATAAGTTCTTATAGCACTTACATAGCTCTAAGGGCTAAATTAGTAGATAGTGAGGTATTGTAAGAGTGCGAAGAAGAGATGCGGAAGAGTGTTGATAGGCAACCATCTGGCTCAAACCAAAAAAAAAAAAAATTAAAAGGCAATCGCATCAGTAACGAGACTAAAGCTCATGCTGTTCACTTAATTAATATTCATCCTAGAAACAGTGCATAGCTGTGGCCTTAAAGCTCAAGTTAGAGCCTAGAACTATAAAGAGATGGTGCAGGGCTTGAAAAGAGGATGCGAACTCATTGTTCAAGACTATAGGCCGCCCAAGAATTATTGAGCCTGAAGGAGAACTAGCAGGGGCGACCAAAAGTTTAGTGTCTGACTTCTATTACAAGTATCCCACTGCCACCATAGATCAGTTGATAGATCAGATGACTAGTAGTTTTAAGAGCTAAACATTTCAAAAAGAACACTCTACCTTTATATGACTGACTCCAGAAAGAATTCAAGCGAGAAAGCATTGGATGGAAATGGTGAAAGAGCTGGACGTTGACTATATGAGCTACTGCTTTTTATCGATAAGTCAGGATTCAATTCAAATTTGAGAAGGACTCAAGGCTGGGCACCAAAAGGGGGAGGGGGCTGCCAAAGTCAAAGTATTAATTATGAGAGCCAATTCAATTTCTATTCTGGGAGCCACCTCTGCTAAAGGTTTCGTAGCTTGAGAAAGCCCATGCCATTTTCAAAGGAAAGAAAGTTAGCCGGTGGCAGAAAACAGCAAACAAAAGGTACGGTAACCAATCACTATGTCAATTTTATTAAAGGCATTCTTGCTGAGATGGACAAGCTTCCTGAAAAGAAAGGACATTGTCTGATCATGGATAATGCACCCATACATACAGGCAAAATAATTGGTGCGATGATCAAAGAGCGCGGTTACAAGTGCATTTACTTGCCGCCTTACTCTCCAGAACTCAATCCAACAGAAGAATTTTGGTTTGTTGTTAAGAGTAGTGTAAAAAGAGAGTTTATACATAGAAAAGGTATTGTTCCTCAAATAATTGCAAAGGCCAGTCATCTTTGAAGTGTTTGTACGCTATTCCGTTAAATGTTTTGATGACTGCCTTGCAGACCATCCTATTTAATAAACAGTTAAATACAATATGCGACATATTTTTTTTTTAGAAGCGACGCTCTTTTCTAAAAGCATACGACCCCGTTTTTTTTTAAAAGTGCACAAAAGGTGTATATCAGAAGTTAGACTAATTCTACGGGCGCCACCTCTATCCATTACCTATGATACCTTCCAACAAAACCTTTGAATGTGTGGTGCTTCGCTAAACATAACTTTATAAAGTTACCGACTTGTTTTGTTTCTTTTCAAGAAGAAGAAGAAATAAAAAGAAATATTGTTATTTATTATTTATTCTAATTTTATGTTGTCAGTTCGATCAAAAAAGACCACTTATAATAAATTCGTACATACATTATTTAGCCTATTTTCTGACGCATGCAGCGTTCATCTTTGACATATGTGACACGTATGTTTCAGACAGATAGCTAGTGTCGGGGAAGACATTGAGTGTTGGCACGGAAACAAAACAAAAACTACTTGGTGAGCCCCCTCCCTCACATTCTAGTGAGCCCCTCCCCTTCATATTCTGGTGAAACAATACTCCTGGTTTTTTTTTTGCCACAGTTGTCTAGAAGGAGCCTCCCAAATGAATAGACTTTCTTTTTTTTTTTTTTTTGGCTCACAATAAGCCTATTGATTTTACTTGCCTTATTATTGATAAATGATTATCACTTTAAAGACCCCTTTCTTCGTTTAGACACCGCTGAAAGAATGATAGTGAATGCCTAATCCAACTCTCGTAGTCTTTTCGTTTTTACTTTTCCAACCGATTGATAAATACGATCCTTCGGTCGATCATCAGCTTTTAATGGCGTTTTTCTAATATCCGCCTTCACTTTTGACCAAAACTCCTCGATTGGATTTAAAAAGGGTGAACAGGATGGTAAGTACAGGCATTTGTAGCTTCTTTCTTTAATCACTCTTCTAATCACTTTGGGCTTATGAATAGGTGCATTATCCATAACAATATAATGGCCCTTCGTGCTATTTTTATCCATGACATCCATGACATTGGATAAGTACGATAGATAATGCTCAATTTTGGTTCCAACTTTACCATTTACCTTTACTTCCCTACCATCAGCCTTTCTTTTTTTCGCTGAGGTTACTTCTGGTTTTTTAACTGATATGTCTATGGTGCCAGCTTGAGATATTGCAGCTAAAATTGTAAATGTAACACCTTTTGCAGATTTACCTTTTAAAGAACGTCCAAATTTTCTCTGAGTATGCAGGTTAAAACCGGCTTCATCAATGAAAACACAACTTTTAGCAAAATACAAGCCTTCCATACTCTGGAATTGCTCAATAGTAGCTTTATACAAAGCGATTACTCTGTCAGAATTTTCTCCTACAGTTACTATATTTAGCACTGTTGTACCTGGATAAAAAAATAAAAATAAAAATTAGACAGTCAGACAATCTGAGCAAAGATAGTAATGAGACAAAGTGTGTGCGTGCGTTTGTGAGATAAAATAAGTGGTAGAGAAAGAAAGACAGAGGAGGTTAAATTGTATGTTATTTTTAGATACTTTTCTCTCTCTCTTTTTTTTCTTCTTCTTTCTTATAAATGAATCCAACATTTTTATCGAATAAAGGATATATTCATCAAACAAGCCATGCAAGTTCATCAGTTAGCTTGCATGATATAAGACCCAATCCTAGACAATATGATTCATATGAATCTGTCGTGAATAACGACTTACCGGAACCCATATTACCATGGATGAAATCAGAATCAAAGCAATCTTTAGGATCTCGTACTTCAGTAGATACAGCCAGTCTTCATGTGGTGAAAAGACAGTACCCGAATCCTTCGGTTAAAAAGAAACAAAGATGGTCTAAACACAAATGGTGGTTACTGTTTTCTAATACACTGGTAATCATCATCATCATCATCATAACCATAGCTCACATCTTTTTTTTTTTTTGGTAGCTGTTTTGTTATGGTCTCGGCATACTTTTACTAGCTCTATTAACATTTTTTAAATGTAAGAAAATGAAAAAGAAAAAAATACCAAGATGAATAGGAGATCAAACCTTCCCCTTCAATAGTTTATTTACGTGCGGACGTTGTCATTGTTGGCGAAAAATTGATTCTTAATTGTAAAAAATATGCAATCTAAAAAAATATATAATTAATCTTTATAAATAGTGATTCTTGCAACAGGTGCTATTTGTTTATTCACATCCCTTCTTGGTTACACTGGCATCATGTTGAATAATAGAGCCGTTTTGACATTTTACAATCTGCTATTATGGCCATGTTTTGGTATGATTGCTGCTATCGGATACACCGCTTACCGTAAGAACAAATGGAATCTAGAAGGCAAATTATCATACCAATGGCACTATCTACTGGATTCAGATGGAAGAGCTCGTATTCAGGCTAATGCAAGTATAATATATGTGTGTATATTATGATTCTAACATAAAAACAATAGCTTCACTGCTGTGGTTATAAATCATTCTCAGACTATCATGAAAGATCAAACAAATGTTTCCCTCGTACACTGTTACCTGGCTGCAAATTCAAGTATCAAACATTTACTAGAGAAGCTCTCAACATTACTTGGATCGTGGCGTTTTCGATGATACCTGTTCATTTATTTGTCATGTTTTGTGGACTTCTTTGCTCTAATCATATCAATCGTAAATTCGGTAAAGGTCTTCCTCCCAAGATTTACCGTCTGGATTATCAGGGCATTGTGGCTGGTACGCCAACAGGAAGTTCATTCAATTTGTACAGAGATGGTTTACAACAAAGACATATTTAGTACATCTTATTAAATAAAGATGTACGCACATGATTTTTTTTTTTTTTTTTGAAAAAAAGAATTTATTTTAGCTGCCAAAAAAATATAAAACTTTATGCTGATCCTGCAGTTTCATTAGCTAATCCTTCTTCCTTATTATTATTATTCTGTGTTGATACATTAGCAGATGCTTCAGCAGGGGTTTCCTTTTCTTTTTCTAATTCATCTTCCTTTTTCACTTCGCCTTCTTCCTTTTCATCCACTTCACCTTCCTCAGGTTCTTCTTCCTCCTTCTTTTCTTCCTTCTTTTCCTCTGGGCCTACAGGGACAAGTTCTTCCTTTTTCTCTTCCTTTGGTGAATGACTGGTTTCAGGCATTGACCTAGGCTTTTTATTATCTTCGTGTTCATGCTGTAAGCTTCGTTTTTGTCCAAGCTGAGGGTTGCCCATACTCAAGAGTGCATCAGCTGCACTCTCATCGTAATCTTCATCTACATTTGATTGTCTAAATGGCGCTCGCTTCCTCTTTTCATCTTCTTCATGACTCTTTTCATGTGTATCGGCTGCTTCCATCGGTCTTTGAGCAGGTGAACGCGATGGTTGTTGTTCGTAGCGGTAGTTTTCAATGCGTGGTGAAAGTCGATGGTCATAAGATTGAGCCTGTTGTGGTGTCACTGGATGTGAGCTGCGTGAGGATGGACGCGAGGTGTGAGGTAAATTGGGTGAACGCGCCATATCTTCTTTGTATCGCATCGACATGGGTGGCAAGTTACCATGTTGCTGTTGTTGTTGTTGTTGTTCGGACAAAATGGGGTTCATTTGAGATCTATCAGATGGAGTGGGTGCACGGCCGCCACCAATGTCAGCAATACGGACATCTTCACGTGCAACATGTGCAGGATATTGTCCATAAGGTCCAGAAGATCGACGATTGACACCCATTTGTTGTTGTTGATGCTGTTGCTGTTGCTGCTGCTGCTGCTGCTGCTGTTGTTGTTGTTGTTGTTGTTGTTGTTGTTGCTGCTGTTGTTGGACTGTCATTGGCTGTGGTGGGTGGCCAGGCATAGGAAGGTCTCTAGCAGGCCCGCTTTCGTGAGAACTCATGCCATGCTATAGAAAGTATATATAAAGTGAGAAAAATGGAAAAATGGCAAAAATATCAAACCTACACTGACGACAGGTAATTGAGGCGTTGCTACTCTTTCTTCAGGATGGCGTTGAGAGGGGTTAGAAGGAGCACCGCTGGCAGTATGATAAGCAGACATGCTCGAAGGAGGACCTGTGGGTGCAGATTGACTATAGGATACGCCATTGAGTGGTTGAGTGCTGTGTCCGCTTTGATATTGACTAGGATTGCTCACATCTTGTGGAACTGGTGCATTGCCAGGAGTACTAGAAAAGACAAATTTAGAAAACAAGCTATACTGTATATGGATAATGACTTACGATTGAGAAGTTTGAGTATTTTGTGACTTTCGCAGCAGTTCTAGTCTTTGCTTGATGTGAGGGTTCGTTGGGTCGAGCTCAGCAGCACGCTGATAAGCATCAAGGGCATCTTGAATTTGATTATTGCAGGATTCATACAGTGTACCCAAGTCGTACCATACTTCGCTGATATAAGGATTTAAACGAATAGCTCGACTATAGGCATCCAATGCATCGCGGTATTGATTGATTTGATAATACAAGACACCGATAGAACACCAGAATGTAGGATTACGTGCATCACGATAGACGGCTTGTTGGTATGCTTCATATGCCTTGTTGTAGTTTTGTTCGGCCATATAGCATCTACCGAGAAGGTACCAGGATTGGGCGTCATTGCTATCTGATTTAAGAGAGCGGGTTAGGAATTGGATGGCGAGTGTTTGATTGCAGAATGACGTATTTTGCTGATGATAGAGCCAGCCTAATTGCTGAAGCACTTTAGCGTGATCGGGATTTTCGGCCAACACACGCTCGTAAGCTTCCTTGGCATGTTCATACTAAAAGAAGTTTTAATGAATGAATGATTTTTTAATTCAGTATACGTTACCTCCTTTTGTTGTTCATAGACATGACCCGTTTGGAACCAGATATCAGACTCTGTCAAAGGTCTCGGTGGGTTGTGAAGGATATAACGGAAGCACTATAGCTTTAATATTAGATATGGAACTTTTGAAGATAAGAGGGAACTTTACTTGAAGTGAAAGGTCATATTTCTGTTGTTGCTTGTATATGATTCCTAATCTAAAGTAAATCTCATTTGCCTTTTCAAACTTTGGATCCATTTTCATCACAGCTGAAAAGGCTTCTTCTGCGTGTTCTAATGAACCATAACGATCATATAAGATACCGATACCATACCAAAGTTTAGGATCCTAAATAAATAGGGGATGTTGTCAGTTTTAGGAAGTTATATCTAAATGTTTACCTTTGGATTTGAAAGATGATAGAGGGCTTGTTGATAGGCCTGATAAGCTTCTTGTAAGTTATCCATCATTAAATAACAGTGTCCTAAAGCGGCCCAAGTTTCACCATTATTTTCTTGAATGGCAAGGATACGTTTAAAATATTCTACGGCCTAAATAAATAATAAATGTAAACACACTCATACACATAAGCACACACACTTTACTCTTCCAAACTGTTCACGTCCTCTACATAATGACGCGATCTGAGAGAGAGCGACGACTGAATAGGGATTGTGTCTTAGTGCAGATTCATAACAGTTCATAGCCTTGTCATAATCAGTCATCATTTCAGCTAGATTGCCTATATATGTAAAAACACGCATATAACGAATAACAATTATAAAGGGTTCATCCTGTTTGTATAATGTAATTACCCATGGTTAACCAAGTTTGTTCATTCACTTGTGCTAATTTCTGAGCAGCTGTAATCTGTTGCGGTGGTACAGTTGCTGCCATCGTGTATTTATGAAAACTAACAATAGTGTCTTAGAACCTTTTTTAAGAGAAATTATTTTATTTTTACTCCCCCCAAATAGAAACTCCTATCTATTTAATATTCATATACACACACATACACCCTTCTTTACTCACACCCTCCTTTCCCTTTTTTTTCTTTTCAAAAATACACGTAATAAAACAAATTATATTTAGTCTAGATATTTACCTTGTTTTTCTCTGTTGACTTGTTGTGATTTCCCGTAAGTTAAAATGAGGCTAATGTGTAGATGAAAGATGGAATAGCAACAGTTGAGTTTTTATTTTTTCTCTTTTAAAGAAAAAAGAAGGTTCATGATCAAAACGCCGCTTTGGAAAAAAAAAAAGTGTCTCCCGAGTCAATTGAAATTCCGATTTTTTTTAGTTTGTGTAAACCCAACACATGGCATTTTTATTTATCATTAATCGACGATCAAATCTCTGACTTTCCAGTCTTCATAGGTACCATCTGGCATATAACGACGAATGGTCAATGGAAGCCTCTTTTCTCTTAATTCCCGATTAGCAATAGCCAATGCGTCTGTTTCTCCATTCAGTTCAACCATCACAGGCGCGTTTAAGCTAATAAAATGAGTATAAAGAGAGAAATAAAAGGTGTATATTACCTAATCTGTAAGGCTCTTGTTCCCAATACTCTTGCTCGCTCATATTTAGTCATATAAGGTGTTGTCAAACGTTCTGTTCTTTCATTTGGATCTGGTAATTGTTCTCTTTGTCTAATGTTTCCTCCTGACATGACATCATTTAGAATGTCTATACGATCTGTCATAGGTTCTGTAGATATGTCTCCATTATTTGTTGTTGTTTGTAATTCTTCATCATAAAGAGCAGGCTCTTCTACAGGTATTTCATCATAGGGCTAATCCATGTCAATGTATACATTCTCTCTCTCTCTATTTGTATATACCTCTTCTTCTACAAATGGTTCATAACTATTTGTAAAGAATAAGTATATGTTTATGTTATTTATTATTATTCTTTACTCTTGATAGTCTTGAACATCATCGTCATCGTAATCCATGATTTAAAAAAAAAAAAACAATAATCACGAGTCATTCACTCTCTCTACACACACTTTTGTTCTGTATTTCTTCGTAATCAGCTGTGACGACTTTTTTATTTAATTTTCTCATTGACATATGAGCTTGTTTAACCATTTGACACAATTTGAGAGACATTTATAAACAACAACAACATAAAGTATTCTTTTTGATAAGACTTGAGTATTCATATGTACTCTTTTTATTAACAAATACAATAATTTTATTAATTTTAACTCCAAACAATGGAGAATGATATTATACATATTTGTTTATATTAACTCATAAAACACATACATCATTTCTTTAAAGATGAACAAAGAAGAGGGAAAGAGAGAAAGAGATAGAGAAAAGAAAAGGGGAGGAAATCCGTTTCATCATGGATGGGCGGTCACACATCCATGGTGCCTGTAATCTTGTGTGTCCTTGGTCCTTATCTCTAATCCTTGATAAGAAATAGACTCCTCTCCATCTTTTTTTATATATATTTCCTTTTTTTTTCTCTTATTTTTTTTTTTTGATGAACGACATAAAGACACAGAGGATACCGATAGAATACATCTTTATTGACAAACAGAATGAGCTACGATCAATATCGAAAACACTTGATTTTATGCCCGTACAACTATCGGATATTCCACTTTTGTATGTTGATCATGACGAACAGCTGGTTGAGTTGATCCAAAAGCCAGCCGAACCCTTGATACCCGTGGCAATGTATGAAGATCCCTTTAGACAACAGGGTGCTAAGCTGGTATTATGTCAAATGCCAACTCGTCTACAGTGTAAAAAGATTATGGACCACTATGGTCATCTTGAACCCTGGTTTGGTATAGAACAGGAGTATGTCTTGTTTGACCCCAAGACGAATAAACCACTCGGTTGGCCAAAACATGGTCAACCGGAAAAGACAGTAATATTCTTAATAATTGTATAATGTATGTACACACAATTGATCAACACATGTGCATTTAGGGGAAATATTATTGTGGTATAGGCACAGGGAAAATATTCGGAAGAGATATTATGGAAGCTCATTATAGAGCTTGTCTATATGCAGGCATCACAATATGTGGATGTAATGCAGAGGTAGTACCAGGTCAACTTGAATATCAAATCGGACCGTGTGAAGGAGTGTCTATTGGTGATGAACTTTGGGTGGCAAGATACATCATGGAACGTGTTGCAGAAGATTTTGGTCTGATGGTTTCGTTACATCCTAAACCCATTCCAGGATCTTGGAATCCAACTGGATGCCATACAAGTAAGAAAAGTATTCAACAACGATGACTCACTTTAACTATTTTATATAGACTTCTCTACAAATCAAATGAGATCAAGTGAAGGAGGATTAGACGCTATTGAAGAAGCAATCGAAAATATGAGCGATAAGCATTTTGAACATATTAATGTGTATGGACAAGATAATCATCTTCGACTTACAGGAGAGTACGAAACAGGACATATCAGCGTATTCTCTTATGGTGTTGGCAATAGAGGCGCATCTATTCGTATACCGATAAAAGTGGCTCTGGATGGAAAAGGATATATGGAAGACCGTAGACCGGCAGCGAATATTGATCCTTATCAGGTAGCAACGATTATCATGACATCTTCATTCAATTATAAACCTCCATCTTTATTCGAAATTATATATTAAAGTTAAATAAAAATGTATTTACGCGCCAGTGTTGGTTGGATCATCGCTTGGTACAGGACCTAATCTTCTTGCCATAGGATCATCAAATCCATACAAGGTGTCTGGTTTATTAGAGGATCTCATAGCATCGTTAGCAAACCCTTTAGGAAGTTGTTCCTTTTGATGTTCTTCCTTGGGCTTCTTATCAGCTTCCTTATCGTCTTGATGATGTTTGTGTTTAAAGATATCCGAGATGTGCATTTAAATATAAAAAAGAGAGAGAAAAAAAAGGACGATTATGCAGTGTGTCGCTTTTTTTCACTACGAAGCGGTCATTTAATTTACACCAAAATCAAAAAAAAAACAAAAGCCCGGGGGCTCATTCGTCTCTCTCTTTTTTTTTTTTTTTTTCCTTTTTATTTCACACGATGTCAGTAACACAACTTCCTACTCGTCAAAATGTTGAAAAAATCATCAAGAATTTTCATGCTAAAGAAGGCTACATTTATTTAAACGGACAAACACTTCAAGAAAGAGATGATACAGACGTCGAATTACCCTTCCGTCAAGAATCCAATTTCTTTTATGTTACTGGTGTTACTGAACCTAATTTTCATGTCGTCATTGACCTGTCTACTAACAAAATCACACTCGTTTCTCCTAATTTGGACCCTGACGCTGTCATGTGGATGGGGTTACCTGATACCTTGGACCAATTGAAGGAGAAGTACGATATTGATGAGGCTGTCTATTTTGATAAGCTCAATGGTATCTTGTCATCTGCTCCTGTTGTATATACTCTACCCATCACAAAGACGGACGCATTAGACAAGTCCAAAGTAAAGCTATGTGATCAGAATGAATCCAAGTTACTCTACTCTGCCTTTGCTGAAGCTCGTGCTATCAAGGCTGATTGGGAAATTGAGATTATCAGAAAGGCAAACCAGATATCATCTGATGCTCACATGAAGGTAATTGTTTATTCTTCTGAATTGGTTCCATTTTAACTTACAATTTAAAAAAAAAAGTTGATGAAAGCCTCTGAACTCGGTTCAAATGAAGCTCAGCTCCATGCTCTCTTTTTGTACGAGTCTGCCCGTCAAGGCGCTTTCTTCCAAGCTTATTATCCTATCGTTGGCGTAGGCAAGAATGCAGCTACTCTTCACTATAACAAGAATAATGCACCTCTCAAGGATGCTAACGAGTTGATCTTGGTTGACGCTGGTTGTGAATATAATTGCTATGCCTCAGATATTACCAGAGTCTTCCCTGTTGGCGGAAAGTTTTCCCCTGAAGCTCGTGTTATTTACTCTATCGTACTTGATATGCAAAAGGTATGTCATGTCTTTTTTTATTATGAAATCTTATTCCTCTCTCTTGTAGGCATGCTTTGAGAGTTGTAAGGCTGGTGTAGCTTGGGAGACAATTCATAGAATTGCCATGGATGTTGCTTGTGATGGTCTTTTGAAGGCAGGTATCCTCGTAGGTGATAAAGAAGAAATCATGAAGCATCACGTCGTTGCTGCCTTTTTCCCTCATGGAGGTAAGTCCTCTTTCTTCATTTGCTCGTATATAGTGATTGACGTTTTATAAAACCAGTTGGACACATGCTTGGTCTAGATGTTCATGATGTTGGTGGTTATCCCGAGGGCACTGAACGCATTAATGAGCCTGGTATCCGTTATTTGCGTATGCGTCGTGATCTTCAGGCTGGATTTGTGGTCACAGTTGAACCTGGTGTTTACTTTTGCGATTTCTTGATTGATCCTGTCTTAAACGACCCAGTAACTAGTAAATATATTAATAGAGACATGCTGGCCAAGTACAAGCCTGTGGGCGGTGTTCGTATTGAAGATAATATCGTCATTACACAAGATGGATATATCAATTTGACCACAGTTCCAAAGGAAATTGAAGAAATTGAAGCTATTTGTGCTAAATAAATTCATGTATTATACTTGATTATATTAGTTGATTAACTCTACATAAAAATCATATAAAAAGAAAAGATTGTGTGTCTTTCTCTTTTCTCTTTCAAACATGTCAGATAAACAAGCATGTCGTATTTGACCATGCCTGATACTAGTCTCTACTTGTGAGATTACATTTGACTTAATTACATGTACCTTAATTAGTACTCCGAGACTTATCACTTCTTTGCTTTTATTCTATACATTACCGAGCACTAACAGCAAGTACTACTGTTACAACCAATACCTCAAAGCAAACAATCCAATGACCAAGGAAGCTTCTTCCCGCATTCAAAGTACTCAAGCAACGAATCAACGGTACATGGGTAAAGGTTCATTTTCTTCCAGAGCTCAATCTGCTGCCGACAGAAACGCAAATCAAGGTAAAAAATAATTGACTGGAGCTTTTTTCTTTTTTTAAAGCAAATAAAAGCTTATTCTCTTTCACTCTCTTTAAATGTTGTCATGTTATGTTTAAGTGGGCTGTTTGTCATAGAAAATACTTTACAAGCCATCCCTTTAAGCAGTCTGGGTGATAAAGTGGATTGATAGTTCATTATTATAAAGAAAACTCTTGAATTAGAATTGGAGCAGATTGACACTAGTTTTTTATTAAAACATCCTAATTATCTAAACTATAGAAATGTCCTTTATTTCTAGTGCAGACGTCGTATACTTTGGAAACATCATCACAGTCTTTGACTATAATACCCTTCTCCCTGTCATGTTCTACTTGTTTACAAACACTTCGATCGATTGCCTCGCTTGCTACTTTTCCACCATTATTTCCTAAGCCAAGGCATCCAACTTTTCCACTATCAGTTTCAAATACCACCCCAGAAGCAGCTGATGACAGTATAGTAAAGTAAAATAACACTAAAAGCTGTAGGATCGCCTTGAACATAATATCAATATCAGAAAGAAGAGCTGATTTAATTTGAAAGGATGAAATAGGGAGTATATTTATAAGTAGACGACCCTCAGTATAACCCACATCCTTTCTGTATCTTTTGTAGATCCTTTACCAATTACGGTTAGTTTTTATATCTGTCTTGACTTGTATTGACAATTAAAAGGGTCAACTACCTGCAAGTAAAAAAGGGAAAGATATCATAATATATAATAATAAGAGTTACTATGAAATCATTGATCGTCTATTGATGAGTTTTATTGCAAAAATGAAAGTGGTTCAACTTAACTGACCATTAGTGTGCAAATGCTATGCTTGTTATACATACCAATCTCTCACAAAATAATTTGCATCAGAAGACAGGGCAGTATCACAAAGAAAAATAGCAAGAAAAAAAAAGGGGGGAGGATAAATAAAAGGGCATTTAATAAATATGATATGGAGCTTTATTTGATATAAATGATAATAGTTGTTTCATTAGGCAACCTTTTGCTTGTTCCGTCTAGATTTTTCTTATATACAGAACTGCATTCAATTAGATTCATAGTACGATCGCCATTGAGCACTACTTCTCCCTTCCCTCCTTTTTTTTTTGCCAAGATAAGCTTGGAATGTCCTATTCTGTGCTCGTTGAACTTTATCATCCAGTTTATAAGGAGATTTCCGTGTAAACCGGGGTTTCTTCGCTTATATCACACTGGATTATTACAGCATATAGCTACTTATCACTGTCAATGCCCCTATTATTAAGTAATATTTAATATTGCTCTATTCATTTGCTTAATGTGAAAGGATCTATTCTTTTTTTTACTAATTTCTTAACGCATGCATATTGCAGATATTCCTGGTACACTACTTCCACAATTTATGATTTCAGAAAGAGTATTTACAATATGATGAATTTAATACTGGCTTCATTCTATAAGTAGTATCCGCTGATAATTGGAAAAGCATGATTACTTTGTACTTTGCACGAACAAAAGCGAAATTGCACCTATGCTAATCCTTATGCATTCAGTCCCCTTTACCTCCTTCTCTGAGGGAGTATCAGAAAATTCACAAAGAGCATTTCAATGATTTAAAATTTGAAAAGGATTATTGAGTGCTCTTCTCCTTTTACAGGGCCATCATTGGATACACTAGTTAGTATCCTTTCTCAACAGAGAGTTCAAGCTGCGCGGGGTTATGTGAAAGCACAGATAAAGAAAGTGTTTTCAAAGGAATGCAACTGTTGGAACTGTATATATTGGGTTACATTTTCATCACCCATATCGTTGCTGATAAGTTCCGTTACTGTCACTGTTGTTGTTGTTGCAAAAGTTCTTGAGTAGTTATATAAAAGAGATATAAGCGTTAATTAAGCTAAATTTTTACAAAGATATTTGTAATAACTAATGATGATTCAAATAAGCAACAATAACCAAGCGATAGGAAGATCACAACATTTTATCCTTCATTTTCTATTCCAAGAATATACAATTCTAAAGTGCCAATCTGGTTATTTTAATGGCTGAGAGAGACGATGCTTTGTAATAAACATAAAATATCCTTACTATTTGATCTTTCTAAAAATTAAGCTCATAACACGTTAGGTCCAACAAATATAAATTGGGCTAGACAAACAACTATTAACCTTCTTTTTTCTTTACACGAAAATAAAATACAAAAGATGGACAAGATTAAAGAGCCTGCTAACCTTGGTGAGTTCAAAGAATCACTCAAGACTAACGCCAAAGTCATCGCCTACTCATCGCCACTTGGGGCGGTCCTTGTAGAAGGGTAGGGCCAATCATGCACCAGATGGCTATATACCACACGGACATCCTCTTCATTAAAGTTGATACTGATGATCATGAAGTAAGTGTAAGTGAAATAAAAGACTCGTTGATTATTAACATATCACTTTAGGATATTGCTGCTGAATATGGTACCCAGGCTATACCTACGACCTTTTTCTTTAAAAATGGTGCAAAGGCTGATGAAGTTATTGGTGCTGAATATGTTTCTACTTTTGAAAAGAAGATTCAAGAGGTTTCCGCTTAAACGGCTTGCATAATATAAAATTTATACGTGTTATCATTCAAATGATAACGTCTAACGTGTACATCTACTATCAAGTTTTGGAGAGATATATATCGCTTAAAGTGACTTGAAACTCTAGACAGTCTTTGCACAAGACACGTCATCTTAATTTAATATGGCTTCTATTACTTGAGTTTTGGCGAACGCGAAAAATACTTATTATTATAGATTTGAACATGTTACAAAATGAAGAAAGGTCTAAATAATAATTCTAATTTATAGTTCGAACAAAATAAATATAATCTATAGGAAATAACGGAAATTCTATACGACTTGTTATACGATCTACTTATTTGTGGGTGGGTTTAAAAGCCTCCTCACTGTATGCGGAATTGCGTCTTCATAGTGTTTTATGGTTCTTGATGCTGAGGATGATCCAGGCTCGGTTGATGAATGAGGTGTCGTTCTAGTATCCTTTGTTACATTTGAATTAATTGTGGATGAAAAAGGAGCAGCTGAGATGCCTGCCAAAGCAGGAGAAATAATTTGCACATCCATCCCTTTGTCAGCTACTTGCAAAGACACTTCATTTTCTTGCAATCGAAGTGATTCAGATAAATCGATCCTATTTGGCATCTGAAGGGATGAGCCAGTCCTTTGGGTTGGCTGCATCAATTCTGTGTTTACGACATCAGTCTGGGAGCTAGAGCCATACGATGTACTTGCAGCTTGCTTATTCTGTTGAGTATCCTTTACACCTTTAGAGCTTGAAGAAGCAGAATCAGCATTAAGATCTTCAAGTGATATGTCTGTGCGTCGAATCATGGCTGTAGTGAACTTTCTTGTTTTTTTTTGCCAAAATGAAAATGAAAATGACTTCTTCTTTTTAGCAGGTGGTAATGGAGATTTCTCATTGACTGGTTCTTTGCCTCTATTCTTGATTCTTTGGACATCTCGCTCTAGGACATGATGATACTGTGCAGGATAGTGATGCTTGTTAGGCCCATCGAAAACATAGGGAACTAGCTTGTTGATTTCTTCAATCTTTACTTTTTCACGTTCCATACGCTCCAACCCGTATATTCTAAAGTGAACTGGGACGCATTTTTCTCTAAAGTTTTTGGGAAGCCCAACCGGTATCTTGCACTGTTTGATTAATTCGATTACCGAAGGCGATAGCTCAACTTGCTCTAAGCTCTCTGTTTCTCGTATAAATCGACGGATCAGCGACTCTTCATTCGCCTCTTCCTTGGTGACATTTTGGGGCTCCTCTGTTGATGTCCTCTCTTTGTTCTTTTCGTTCTCCAGCTGAAGGCTTTGCTCTTCAGTGCTGCTGTTGCCTTCACCCAGAAGAACAGCCTGTTGTGAGTAGTTAGAGATATTAGGCAAGGTGAGCCATGGAAGGTTTAACGTTGCTGCCGGATCAACCTCAGTGAATTCTTGGAACTGACTATTCAGCAAAGAATCAAGAGTTGGCTTTGATGAATCAGCAAAAGGTCGAGCAGAACTGCGGGCATGGGACCACACCAAATTAGGCACTGACTGAGAGCGAAGGTATGGTACACCATCAATAGTGGTGGATGACAATCGGTTCGGTGTGGGCTCCACAAGGTCTAAAGCTCTTGAAATGCGACTTGTAAGCTTCTCGCCTTGGACAGATGTTAGATTTTGTTCTTGGGAGGGATACTTTTCCTGATTGCAACCATCTTCTTGGTCGCAGGCTTCTTGTTGATTGGAAGCCTCTTCCTGCTTCATACCACTATTTTTCTTAATATTCCCCTTGCTTGTAGTTGCCTTATTCTTCTTCTTGCTCTGAATCTCTCGACGAGACTTGTTATGCAATCCTTGTTGATAAATTGCTTTCATGAGCTGTTTCCACTCCCTGTTGGCCAAAGAACTTTTTGCATCGTCCATGGGTATAACGCAGACTGCGTCAATGTGTCTGGCATTTCTGACCGTCTCCATTTGGTCATCCACGCCTTTTTCTTGCTCGACCGCCTCAAGATTGGGTGAGCTTAGCGGATGACGATCATTGTCAGTAGAGAAAATTCCAATGCCTGCTTCTCCCAAAAGAAGAGGCTTTTGGCGGGCGTGCCTAATCACAAATATGGCTGCAGCGACCAAAGCAGCACCAAAAATGCCACCAATGCTTCCCATAATGATTTTCCAGTTGCTCGAATCTGAAGAAGCATTCTCCGAGACACTAGATGCGGCGTGGGCGACAGCGTCTTCATGGAAGCTTGTCTGGACAGTAGATGTCGTACCAGATGAGTTTATGGGAAATGACAGGATGGTACTAGATGGTAGACTATCAAGAATAGACAAAGATTCCTGGGGTATGCATCCATTATCATCACAATAGACAACTATATACTTTTTATTAGTATAAGCTCCATATGACGACGTCATGTATCAAATACTTACTTTTGTAACCATTGACGAGTAAAAAGAAGAGCAAAGTGATCACTATTATTGGCTTGAGCCCATAAATCATCGTTAAATAAGTTAAAGTCGAAGAGAAAAGAAAAAGATTGCTCAAAAAATGTAAATGATTTAAAGAAAGCTTGCTTGCATTCTTGTTTGATTAGACAACTTTAAAAAAAAATTCCCCAAATCCAAAGCTGTTTGTATGTGAATTAAATAGTCATTCGCTATTAATTGTTGCCATAAACCATGGATATTCGTTTGCTGATGTCTAATTAAAAGTGAAAGGGGACAGTGTTGCATTAATTCATACACTAAAGTAGTCTTTTTTTTTTGAATAATTTCCTCCGCGTTATGCTCAATGCGCTTATAGCACACACAGTACATAATTAGATGCCTATTACTGACAGCTTTAGGATAATTGCAAACAGATATTGATGGTATGGGATATGCTCTCTGACAGTTCTTAAAAGTGAAATATACTAAGGTATTTCTCTATGAAGCTTCCTCCAGAATGTTCTGTGTCATTGATATATTTATTGTAGTCTACAGTTAGCTTTTCCTCCGTAGGAACTTTGCTACATCACTAACTCTTTTATAAACACATGTGGGCAAGGATTTATAATAGCTATTACGCGAAGCGTGGCCATGATATCTGTATGTGCTAGAAAGCTGGCCCTGTTTACCAATAAGAAGAGCTTTGAAGAACTTTGCACATTTTTCTTGGCCAAGAAAAAGAGAGAGCTTGTACTTCATGACGGAGCTTGATGTTATCAAGCTTTCGACGGCTTTGAAAGAAGTACCACAACTTCTTGGGTATGTGAATAATCTTTGTGATATTTTGCATGTCTTCCATACAAAATGATGGCCACATTCAGGACGCTTTTAATTTTCTTTTTTTTTTTTTTATGACTTTCTTTTCTGCCTTTTTACTTTCAACTATTCTTCAACATTAGCTCATTGACTCCATCAAGATGCACAGAGCTGACAATTGTCCAAGAATGGCTATACCTATTCTTTTCAAGCCAGTTTTTTGTATATTTTTTTTACGGTAGTCTTCCTTTATTAAAGTGGCCATCGGTCTAATTTCAAGCACAAGCAACAACAACTGTGCCGGCCATTAGCATTGCGGTCTCTCCTCGCATTAAAGGTTACTTGAGCTTCATTTTAAAGGTCTAAAACAAATCCATTGGCTCATTTTAGTTACAGCTTATTTCCGGCCAGGTTATTGTGGACGCGATTGAAGCATTTGCCTGTAGTAAACTAACGATAGTTATTGTAGTTTTAAAGAAAAAAAAGAAAAAGACCAACTTAAACAGAGTTATCAATTATGTATTTCTTTCAAATAAGCATTTCAACTGTATTGACGTCTTTACGACTTTGATTTGAACTATGTAAGTGCAGTGAATTCAACTTTCTCGATGAAGTATCTGCATGCTAAAAAAAATAGTTGAATTTCAAACGCCAAACACTGTACTCATTTCATTATCCTGCATCGAGCGGTATGACCCTTTAGGCTCTCAGATGCCCTAAAGCGCTTAGTTACCTAAAGTTCTTAAAAGAGCAAGGTATTGATGAGCAGTAGGGTTTCAGTATTACATTTTTGTCAATGTGTCAAACCGATCTTTCCAAAGATTTACGTTAGCCTTGGTATTGAGTGTCAATAACGTATATCTAGAGACTTTTCAGTGCTCATACAATCCCATAAGGCTGTAAGTGAAAATTACCTCGAGTCGACCGTAAATAAAAGCATATAGTGGCAGACAGTGGTATCTTGTATGCTTCAATGTCAAACTATGGTCTCGAAGTAATGATAAGAAAGATGCAATGACGTATTCTACATTGCTTATTAAAGGCGCTTTAAGTACACGAAATGTGATTATAAATGGTAAATTCCAGTATTTCTATTACAGTGCTTCCTTCGCCATACGAGAGGCTGTATTGCCCTTGTATCATAAGACTATTAGAGTCATATTTGTCATAGCCTTATTCTCCGTAACTTTACTATTAATAGAGTAAACAGTAGTCAATACCAGAATGTATGTAATCAACTTCGGAGACTGCCAGGAAAAGGAAAAGAACCCTGCATGGCCACAACTTCTGCAATAAACCTGTACCTGTTCTATTCTATTAATATGGCGTAAATGTTTAGGTTTAAATTTGCATTAAACTGTAACGTGGCACACGCTTGACTACGGCTTCTTCACAAATAAAGTATCCATGTGTCAAGCATATTTTTTATCTAATCAGCCTCCAATCATCTTTTTCATTTATATCATTTGCATATTGAAAGCATATCATGCCTTAAAGGACTCATTCTTGCCCTTGGCTTATTACAAGCCAAGTTTTAATATTCATACAGTACAAACATTCAAAAGCAGATGAAGGGAAACATGACCTTCGTTTGGTTTAAAGGGAGATTCTTCAGAGGGCTTTTTCTCTGGACTAGTCCCAAGGATTTGTCTTGCCATAATTGTAAAAATCTAGATACAAGCTTGGAAATTTTCTCAGGAGAAATGACTGTGCGGCCATCAACATAAACATTGTACAATTCTGTTCATGCTTGTTATGTTTGTAAATAGTGGGCCAAGTACTAGAACTAACAAAGTTAAAGAGTATTACCATTTTCATGACAGCACCGAGGGCTCTTAGGAATATCAAAGCATCAAGCTCTTCAGCCTTAACAAAAAAAAATCATATAAATAGACTACCTTTTGGCCCGTTCTTTTTCTTCTCCACTCATCAAAGTAAAAGTAATATATCTTTTAAGTCACTCTAACAAAAGCATCTGTTGACTTGTATCGATTAGGTAAACCATGGAACACAACAGACTCTTCTACATCAGACAAATCGGTGACGATGGCAAGAAATACGTTGGCGTTACTAGTAACAGTAGCCAGATCAACTCTCATCTTACTGTGGAACCAAAGAAGGCCAATGACTACGATGGCAAGCAAGTCTGGTATTTTGATGATAATAACCAGCTCGTAAATGTCTTCACTGGTCACCTCATTGGTTATGATAACTCTGACCCTGGATTACCCGGTGTCCCTGTCTTGATGCAAAAGCCAAATGAACGCAGCCCTGAGTTCCAATGGGCATACGATACGAACACCAAGAGAATTTATAACAAGGTCAAGGGACAAGATGCAGAATGGTGGCCCCACTATCAGAATGATCGTGCTTACATTGTAGTCAAGAAAGGAGCTCACCAGGATCCTAACTGGGACAAGTTTGAAATCATCTACAAGAACAAATAATTTGGCTATGATTAGCCCTATCCTTTCTCTTTTCTTATAAGTAAAATAAAATCTTTACAGATTTGTTCACATATCCTGTTTGTGCTTTGTATCCTGCTGCCGTGATATTGGAATTCTGCAAGTATAAACCAACTTGTTGTCAATTCAATCAATTAGCAGTAAAAACATGAAAACGAGAAAAAAGGGGAGTGAAAAGCTTTAATTTATTAAGTTATTCAAAATTCTTGCTGATACACTTCATCAGATAATAGAATGAACTCTTGTCTGTCAAAATATTCTTCCTCCTCAACTTCTTGGTCCTTGGCTACTTCAAGTGCGCTTTGACGTTGACTGCATGTATCGTCCGGTTTATGAACAGCCTTTGGTATAGTAGAATAACTCCATTCTTGTGTATCTTTCCATGGAGACGGGAGTACAGTTACTGGTGATGTGTCATTTGCAACGACAGTTGTTGACGTGCCGATGGTGTCAGATCTTTTAGGGCTGTTGTCATGCCTTTTTATTTCCGAGATGGTTATAGAGGAAGGCAGTGAGTGCACCCTTGCTACTGATGAGGATGATGATCTGGTTCTTTGCTGGTATACATTAAGCAAATAAAAGGCTATCAAAATCAAGATAAAAACGACAAGCCCTCCGGTGACTGCACCGGCAATAATCGCTAAAGAAGGATAGCCACTTGTATCATCGGTCCTTTGTATTGCTCCACTGTCAGTGTCATCTGAAAAAGGTAAGCCTGAAGGGGTGTAAACGGATGTCCAGCTCCATGTGTTGATATCCAGAACTTCAATATCTGACATGACAGTTAACGATGTCGAGACGCCAGAGAAACCAAAGGCAACGATCATATTTGTACCAACCAGTGTAGCTTTTATAATATTATTAACGTTTCGCTGCTGCTTTTATAACAAGAAAAGGGCAACTCTCTTTCTTTTTTACCTGTATGCTAAAGATTATAAATAAAAAACAAAGTAGAAGCAGTATAAAACTAGACTTACATCCGCTCTTCCTTGTAATGCTGCATTTGTATTCTTCACTGTCCACTTCCAGGTACGTGTGTCCAAGACAGCGACGTCATTGTATACATGATATCCATCGTATCCACCATAACTATAAAGTAAATTTATACAACAGACATACGACAAGGTACATATGCTTTATGTATGTGGTATTATTTGACGACTTACATTAAAATGGAGTAACCATCAGGCATGAGCACTTGGCTATGACTGCTTCGATTTTCAGGCTTATTATCTCTATCTAATTCTGCTGTAATATGAGTCCAGTTGGATGCCTTTATGTCAAATACCCAAACATCTGAGAGGGAAATGGCGTTTCCTGTCAACCCATCGAACCCACCAAGTATCACAATTCTGTCATTTGCGATCAATGTCTGTGTATGAGCGTATCGAAGAGGAGGGTTCACTGTAAGTGGTATGAATGATGAGTTCTCAGGGTGAACAGAATCGAAACGATAGATATTGGCAGGCAGGTTCATGACATGAATTGGCACTCGAGCTGATCGTTTGCCTCCCCAAATCTACCTCTAACTCGATTAATCCACAAATATAAAAAGCTATGACGGTCTTCAGGCTTACATAGGCTGTCCCATTTTTTGTTACCGTGCATCCGGCACCTTGCCGGTTTAATCGATTTTCTCTCGGTAAGGAGAACGAATTCCATCTACCCAAGTCGATGTCATAGGTGTATGCTGTAGGCTCTTCATCAATTGGCATCTGGTTGGGCATGACGCCACCGATGATAAGCATGTTATCGCCATTTAATCCACCCGTGAAAGCAATGTGAGCTCGCACAGAGGGTCCTCCAAGAGAGCTTTGTAGGCCTGAAGCTGTGCTCCAAGGAGGACTGGTTACTGAAAATGGCGAATGGACAGGGAGGATGGCTAGATCAGATAGGTAATGTGTACTGTTGTCGTCGCTTGGGTTGATAGATCCATCTCCACCATAAAAGAGTATACTACGTACCACTTTCATGCGTTATCGAAATGGTTAAAGGTTTAAAGAGTAGTAGGTTACCTGTCGTTCAATTGAACTGCAGAATGGGCAAATCGACCTACTGCAGTATAACATTCAGCATATTTAAAAAAGAGAATGAATGCAAATTGTATCATAAAGCAAATCAACAAGAAGAGAAAGAAAAAAGAAAAGAAAAAGGAGAAAGAAGGGCCACTTTTATGTATAAAGCCGTTCGTGTAAAGAAGAAAAAAATCAGTTTTTATTAAAACCTTCTATTCTCAATCTCACTCTATGCCTAATCTGCTTGTCAAGTCTTGTTCCCTTTCAATAGCCCTTCCTTGAAATACATTATCCAATATTTGACTAGGACTATTACTGGCGCTGGTACTGGCACTATAACTATTGTTTTCTTTCTTTTGTCCGGTTATTTTTTTAAATGACTCAATGTCGACAGGTGTTAATGTCACTGCAGTGGGAGGTTTTCGAATCATTAAGAAAAAAAAAAGAAAAAAAAGAAAAGCAAAACACAGAAAACAAAATTTAAGCTTTCTAAATTTGTAATAAACGTAACCTCATCAGCAGCGTCCTTCTATTCACTATATAGACGCCTATTTTCTTTCTTAAAACCCTTCAGAGGGCAACAGAAAGAAAAAAAAAGTAGTTAAATATTAATGATTCATTAATAGTCTTGTAAGCACAGTTCAGAATCGGCACAAAGCAGCACTCACGTTACCTGTACGGCAGCTTCAGAAGGTCAGAAGGGGATAGCTACTGAGCACATGTCACCAAATTAGCATAGTATATAATCAATTATCAGTGGCGAATGGATTCGAACGCAGAGAACAGGAGCAAAAAAAGTGATGCAAGGATTACTGATTCGACTACCTGAGGCGGTTAGGGACTGATAAGAATTTTTGTATCATATGAGATGCTGGTGAACCCTTGCAGTCTCTGAGGTGACTTGATCATGATACGTTTCGACAATAGCAGAATTCAAGAAAATATATGCTTTATTATCATTGACTTTAGAGGATGGATCACTTTTACTCTTCATCTGTTGTAAGAGCCGAAGACTGGGATTCAAGTTCCTGATTCTTGATATTTAAGTGTCATGTTTATAATGTCCAATCGTTTTGTTCCGTTGTGGTATTTTCGAGAAAACGTGAAATAATGGACGATTTCCTTTTGTCATCTTTCTCTTCTCGTCAAACACCAACCGTAGATGACCTGCTTTTTTTATTGGATCGGCATTAGGTAACGGCTTGTAATGGCTATGGCTGATGTGTTTGAATAGAAGAGCAGTGCCATCAATTAAGCCGTCACTAGTATTACGATTGTTTGTAATCATGTACCTTGCACTAACCCCAAGTTCAAACAGCCTCATTGCTTGGTGGATCAGACAAGTCTGTATTACTTTAGCAATAGCTCTCGAGGCATTGCAGTATACCTTTTGTGTACTACCTTGCAAAAAACTGCTCTTATTAAAAAGAAACTGATATATGCAACCCAATTGTCAATTGATCCCACAGCCCAGGTCTTGTTTATCAAAAGCTGTGCATTCCAAGTTTCCAGACTTTAAGTTTAATGGAGCCTATGACTCTTTCAAGACATATTGCAAATTTTATCAAAGAATATTAAGAATGCTCTGCAGGAATTTTATTATTATTTTTAAGTGATCACAGTGGGTTCCTTGCGTCCAGTGTATTTTTCAAGCTGAGACAAATCCAATGCAACATCAATCAATGGCTTCAAAGCAGCTTGTGTGTCCTTGGTATATTCTGAGGCATCATTTGTGTACTTTTCGACATAAAGACGTACCGTTGCTCCTTGAGAGCCAGTGCCAGATAAACGAATGATAATACGTGATCCATCTTTAAAGACGATACGAATACCTTGCTTCTTTGCTACACTGCCGTCAATAGGGTCCTTGTATTCAAAGTCATCTGCTGCAGCTACGGTAAATCCACCAAAGGTCTTACCAACCAATTGGTTCTTTTCGATTAATCCACGAAGATAGTCTACCATTTCTTCAGCACCTTTACTGTCGACTTCTTCATAGTCGTATCGAGAGAAGAAGTTTCGTCCATAGATCTTGTAGTGGTCTTGAAGGATATCCTGCACACTTGCGCGCTTTTCCTTATTGACATGTGCAATGATGCTCAACCATGCTATTTTTATCAAAAAAAGTCAGCGACACGCTATGTGCATATTACGTAAACATTACCTAAAATAGCCCAGACACCGTCCTTTTCACGAATATGATCTGAACCTGTACCAAAAGATTCTTCACCACAGATGGAACAACGGCCAGCATCCATGAGATTACCAAAGAATTTCCAGCCTGTGGGCACTTCAAAGTGCTCAACTCCCATCTTTTTAGCTACTAAATCTACAGCTTGAGAGGTGGGCATGGAGCGAGCCAGGCCGTTGATACCATGTTTCTTAAAGTAAGGAATAGCATCCTTGGCATAGTGAGCAATGATGGCTACACTATCAGAGGGAGTTACAAAGGCGTTTTTGCCGATGATCATGTTACGATCACCATCACCATCTGAAGCAGCACCAAAGTCAAATCCTTGCTTGTTAACAGCTTCCACCAAGTCGTGAGCATAGGTCAGGTTAGGATCAGGATGTCCACCACCAAAATCAGGAAGAGGTTTACAACGCATGACATTAGACTCGGGTAAGCCAAATTCTTCAACGAATAAACGGTAACCATAGGGTCCGGTAACACCATTCATACCGTCAAAGAGCATCTTAAAGTCTGTGTTCTTCTTGAAGAATTCCTTGATGCTGTCAAAGTCAAAAATGTCCTTCATCAATTGAACATAGTCATCCACACCATCAATGACCTCGATTGTCATGTCGCCTACAGTTTGAGTACCTAACTTGGAAAAGTCAATTTCGGGCACATCTGCTAATTTGAGTTCCTTGATAGTCTTTGAGATTTCATAGATTCTGTCAGTGACAGATTCAGGAGCAGGACCACCGTTGGAGCAGTTATATTTGATGCCAAAGTCGTTATCAGGTCCACCTGGATTATGAGAAGCAGTCAAGAGGATACCACCAGTAGCCTTATGTTTACGAATGATGTTGGATGCTGCTGGTGTAGAGACAATACCATTACGACCAACAATCAATTTGGATACCTTTAAAGTGTCATTTACGTGTGTTTTTCTCCTCGAGATATACTTACACCTTGTGCAACACTGCATTTAACAATAACTTGAAGTACTTCATTAGAATAGTAACGACCATCACCACCAATGACTAGAGTAGCACCTTTAGCGCCACCATCAGATTCGGGAATAGCTTCAAGAATAGCCTGTACAAAGTTTTCGGTGTAGTTCTTTTCTTGGAATACTTTGACACGTTTACGAAGACCTGAGGTACCAGGCTTTTGTCCTTCAAAAGGCTTGGTGGGAATAGTTTGGATGTTTACCATGGTAATTTTTTTTTTATTTTATAAAAAAGAAAAAGAAAGAAAAAAAGAGAGAAATACGAGTGAATTACGTATTTTATGCGTACTGTTTGTTCTTTTGCCACCCATTTTGTTTCCAGATTACCCGGAGATTCCAATGAAACAAAAGATGGGCTGTGATAGTCACGGTGAACCTAATATAGTAATCATTCATCACCGTGCTTCTCTTTTTTTTGATGTTCTTAAACACATATTTTACGCGTTCATGTCTTTGTAGTAAATATCCTTGTTTAATCATTCTAAATAGTCATTTATTTAACAATTCCTAATAATTAAATGTATAATTTTCCGCTTAGATCAGTTTCATCCGTTTGAGAATGGGTGTTTAAAATTAAAACCTTCTTTTGGGGTTATGAATTTAATTATTTTGACCTTTTATTACATTATCAATAATAGTACTCAGAAGTGTCTTATTCTCAGTATGCTCTTTTTTTTGGGGGAGAGAGAAAAGATTTTGATCTATCATATTCCTACACTTTATTCACTGTCGAGGATCGGATGTCAGTTCGTTACTTTAAAAATAACTGGTCAAAATATAATTTAAGCTTCAAGGACCATTTCAATTACCTCCAAAGGTTGTCAGTTTTTGTTATTGAGCAAATAACAATAAAGAAAGATTTGATTTAAATACAAGCTAAGAAGTGTCTTTTGATAGCTGATGATGAGTTTACCCTTTTTATATTAAAGAATAACATATGTCCATGTTCTTTAAAAAACAACCATTACAAAATGAAGGCATGTTTCTTGTAATACGGATAATACGCATATATACAAGTTCATCAATATCAAAAGGAACTTTCTATACGCGTATAGGTCATCGTTGTACGAACGAAGAAAAAAAAAAAGTCAGCTGGACAAACTGCATAAGTTGTTCACGCAGCTACTTGGTTTTTTTCCCCTTTTTTTTTATTATTATTCTTTTTATTAAAAAATGTCAGTTCAAGACGCATACAACAAAGTATTTTCCAACTTTCAAAAAATGAGAGATTACCTTGCACCTGTTTTAAAGAATTCAAAGTTTAAAGAAACTGGGTGCATTACGCCTGAGGAGGTAAAGAAAAGGACACATGAGCCAACTCCAAAACTCTTAATGTTATCTATATATATAGTTTGTAGCAGCAGGCGACTTCCTTGTTTACAAGTGCCCAACTTGGTCATGGTAGAGTACTCCCAAAAACAGCAATGAGGGACAATGTTCTCATTTTGAAATATAGGGAAGGAGGACTAGAGGAAAAGACAAAGGATTATCTGCCTGCTGATAAACAGTTTTTGGTGACTCGCAATGGTAAATACATAAAATAACACATCTATCTTATATTTATTGTATGTAGTTCCATGTCTTCATCGTGCTCGTCAGATGGAATACACAGAGGACGACTCAGAGACACAAGTAGCAGATGATCATGATGAAGAGGATTGGATGTATACTCACAGCAACAGAGGTAACTAGGAACATATCATTTCATGATCTAAACTATTGCTAGCTACAAAAACTATGGAAGAAATTGCTCAGACGATCATGACAGAGGAGGAGGAGGAAGCAGAGATCAAAAGAGGTTTAGAAAAGCTAGAGTTGGATAAGATACCTGACCTAGATGACATACCTAATATGGATGATATACCTGATATGGATGACCAAATCGAAGAAGAGGATGATCCTGTAAGCGCGTGATATGGTCTGTTGCATTAGTGATTAACTCCTTTCTTTTTCTTTTGTAGGCAGTTGACCACTCAAAAAGCAAAAAGTAAATGGGTTTGAATTATGTATGAATACAACTAACCAGTTTTAATCTAGTGATAAGGTACTGCAGGTGCGTACATATGATGTCTTTATAACCTACGACAAGTATTATCAAACACCTCGTATGTGGCTATTTGGATATGATGAAGAGAGACGTCCTCTTTCTTCTACGCAAGTGTTTGAAGACGTATCTCAAGATTATGTAAAGAAAACCGTAACAATCGAGACTCACCCCCATCTTTCTCTCAACTTGGCCTCCATTCATCCTTGTAAGCATGCTGAAGTCATGAAGAAGATTATTGAAAGAATGAGTAGCAAGAATGAGGAAAATGGTATTCGTGTGGACCAGTAAGTTATCATCAAGAAAGATATTTATATCACTAAAACACGTTTCTTTTAGATACATGATTATCTTTCTCAAATTTCTTAGTTCGGTTGTTCCCACTATTGATTATGATCATACAATCAGCACTTAATCATGAGGGTGTATTAGACTTTTTATTTTATACGTTTACAAAAGAATAAAAAGGGAAAAGAGGGTCCTATTTTACTCAACTAAAGCGTTACCTGAGTGTGGTAACTCTCCTTCTTCAGTTTTCTTGGCTAAGCTCACTTCGGCTAATTCGGTACGAAGCTTTTCAAGTTCAATTTCGAGCACACGGATTTTTACATCCCTTTGAGACAATTGGTTCTTTAAATCATCATTTTCTTTACGCATTTCGTGGTATGCTTCTTGATACTACATGAGGCAATGAGTTATATATATACATTGCATTTGATCATGTGAAAACTTACATTCTTTTCTTTGACAGGTGAAGAAGGCTCATTTTTGACTTCTTCCACTGGAGCAGCCGTAGGGACAAATTCCTTCTTGGCCTTGGCAGTGAAGCCTGCTTCAAGGTCAACAAGCTTGGGATCAGCATCCTTGCCCTCAAACCACTCGTCAGCAGTAAGCGCAGGTTCGTCGCTTAAGCAAGGAGGGAAGATGTCTGATTGGAAAGCGTCAGACTATAAAAAATTGAATGTTAGTCTCTGCTGAAGTAACAAGTAAATGTACCTTTCTGGGAACAGTGAAAGAAATAGGTTCTACAATAGAGTGTCCTACTTTATAGGCTCTAGCTACTTCACACTCGTTCACGTTTAATCCTCTCTTGGGCATGAATCCCATGCCACGTTGAGGTTCAATTGCTTTGTATTCAGACAAAAGGTATAGTTCATCGTTATCATATTCAAAGTAACGAATGTTTCCATCACTATAACAATGTGAGTTGGTTATGATCTGGATCAACCCTTTAACTTACCCCTTTCCGGCAAGATAGAGCATCTTGGTATCTGGATCATAGAACGGCATAATCACACCAGAGGAGGTATCCAAAAATTCAGATTTAATAGGCTTGCTAAGGTTTGTTGAGTCCCACAGGTTCAACTGACGGTCACTCATACGTGAGAAACCGGTAGTGGCCAAGCGATCCATGTTACCCATCCAGACAACACGAGAACCCTTGATGCCTTGGTGACCAGGACCCTCTTGTACGACCTTGTTGGCGCGCACGTCAAATACACGAAGCTTTTTATCTCTGCAAGTTGTGGCCAATAGGGATCCGTTGTAGTTCCAAGACATGGACTGGATAAGTTCTGTGTGTCCAGTGATCTCCTGCTTTTCTACCCCTTTTTCAATATCCCATAACTTGATTGTCAAATCAGTACTTGCAGATGCCAATACATTGTCTGCTGTTGGATGGAAAAGCACTTGGCCTACTTTGCTGTACACAATCGTTCACTCTATGTCTCTTTCATGATTTTTTTTTTTTTGCTTACCGTCCGTGACCAGATAGCTTCAAAATAGGCTGTACCTCTTCTTGTCCCTCAGCATACTCTTCAGGGATGCTCCAGATCATAACCTTGCTGTCTTCTGCACCAGAGGCGATCACATAATCGTTGAAAGGATTAAAATCTGTGTCAAGGACTGGCCCAGTATGTCCTCGGTAAAGGGGGTAGTTTTCAGGTAGCTTGCCTTTAAGGGGAAGAAAAGTGAGATGGGTATCAACATACAGGCTTTATAACTTACCAACTTGAGAGAGAGGAATAACAGCAAAAGCACCACCACCAGAAGCTTGCCAGTTAATAGACAAGAAACGCTATGGCAAAAAAAAAGAGGAGGAATGTAAATCAACAAGGATATATCGTATTTTTTTTTGTTCTTATTACAGAGTTGACTTTGACAATATTTGTATCCCAAGCATTTGCGCTTACACGGAGATTGTCATAACAATAGTCTCTCTTGGCACATGTACCATAGACATGGCGGTACTTGGAAGGACGAACGAAAAAAGCCATCGTTCTTTACGAAAAGAGAGAAAAGTTAGTGCTTATAACTAATGGCATCTAAGTAGCTTACATAAAGAGATGTTCTTTATGAAATAAGAGATGTAAAGAAAACGGAAAAAGAAGAGAAGGGGGAACTTGAAATCAACTAAAAATAAGAAGCTTAAAATAGAAGGTTGTACAACATATCTTCAAAATTGCTCTAATTTAGCATTCATATCAAGGGGGAAGTTACAGCTAAAGATCAATTTATAAACACAAATCAAGCAAGGATGTGTTGATTTAATTTAGAGTCTTGTGTTAGGTGGTAACTTGTTTGATACTAAAGACAATGGTAATACTGAACCTTACTATCTAAACTTGTGGTGAACTTTAGTAAGCCATAGAGATCGTTGCTTGTTAGATCGGAAATTTTCCTCCATATTTTTATAAGCAAGCATTGTTTTCGTCAGCGCTTATTTCAATACTTGGAAATAAAAAAAAGCCCATATTGGAGAATGTGGCTGATGCTTCATTAAAAAGAAAAAAGCGGCCAAAGGTCAGACTTGATCATTTATAATAATACTGGATTTTGCAGGTGGATTTGCGTTGAACGAAATAAAAATCGACGCTGACGGCAAAATAATTTTGCGCTGTGCTAAGAGATAATCTTTACGTTACTCTAAATATGAATTTGGCGTTGATCGGTCATAATAGTTGCGCCAAGGATATGTCTTATTCAATACAGAATTTAGTAATCACGATGAATGACTTTGGCGTGCGTATGACTGACAGCGAATTTACATCGGATGACGATGTCAACTCTTTGTCTGATGTTTGTATGGAGAACTGTGTAAATGATGACAGTGAGCTTTCTATTGATCACCTTAATTTGAACAAGGAGTGGCAAGAGAAAATAAGTCAAATAGGAAGTGAGTCTCTATTATGTGTACGTAGCCTTATGGATCCTAATCCACCTGAAGAATAAATAGATATATTCGGAGAAGCTCTTCTTTTTGCAGAATCAATGTCACTGAAAAAAAAAAGCACAAGTATCCAAAGGTTAAGATGAGAGGTTCTTACCGAAACTACACTCCAGAGCAAATTGAAAAGCTTTTTGATTTAGTTATTGAGGAGAATTATACAGCCAAGGATGCGACTTTAGTGACTGGGATAAATGTTTGTACAGCTCAAAACTATATCAAAACATACAACAATGATATACAGAGACGACTTCCAGGCACATATGATAAGCCCCGTGAGAGACCTCATAGTGAGCTAACTAACGAGTATTCAAAGTTTCTTCTAGACCATATCGAAAAGAATCCTACCGCTACATTAGATGAGCTAAAAGTTATGGTTTGTGAAGAGTTTGAAGGCTTGAAAATCCCAATTTTGGCTATATATAGGCATTTGGTGAGCAATTGTCATTTTATCTTGAAAAAATCGAAAAAATTACAGCAGCAAGAAATTCTGATAGAGTAATCGCTTTGTATAAAGCTACTATTGAGCAATTCCAGAGTATGGAAGGCTTGTATTTTGCTAAAAGTTGTGTTTTCATTGATGAAGCCGGTTTTAACCTGCATACTCAGAGAAAATTTGGACGTTCTTTAAAAGGTAAATCTGCAAAAGGTGTTACATTTACAATGTTAGCTGCAATATCTCAAGCTGGCACCATAGACATATCAGTTAAAAAACCAGAAGTAACCTCAGCGAAAAAAAGAAAGGCTGATGGTAGGGAAGTAAAGGTAAATGGTAAAGTTGGAACCAAAATTGAGCATTATCTATCGTACTTATCCAATGTCATGGATGTCATGGATAAAAATAGCACGAAGGGCCATTATATTGTTATGGATAATGCACCTATTCATAAGCCCAAAGTGATTAGAAGAGTGATTAAAGAAAGAAGCTACAAATGCCTGTACTTACCATCCTGTTCACCCTTTTTAAATCCAATCGAGGAGTTTTGGTCAAAAGTGAAGGCGGATATTAGAAAAACGCCATTAAAAGCTGATGATTGACCGAAGGATCGTATTTATCAATCGGTTGGAAAGGTAAAAACGAAAAGACTACGAGGGTTGGATTAGGCATTCACTATCATTCTTTCAGCGGTGTCTAAACGAAGAAAGGGGTCTTTAAAGTGATAATCATTTATCAATAATAAGGCAAGTAAAATCAATAGGCTTATTGTGAGCCAAAAAAAAAAAAAAAAGAAAGTCTATTCATTTGGGAGGCTCCTTCTAGACAACTGTAGCAAAAAAAAAAACCAGGAGTATTGTTTCACCAGAATATGAAGGGGAGGGGCTCACTAGAATGTGAGGGAGGGGGCTCACCAAGTAGTTTTTGTTTTGTTTCCGTGCCAACACTCAATGTCTTCCCCGACACTAGCTATCTGCCTGAAACATACGTGTCACATATGTCAAAGATGAACGCTGCATGCGTCAGAAAATAGGCTAAATAATGTATGTACGAATTTATTATAAGTGGTCTTTCTTGATCGAACTGACAACATAAAATTAGAATAAATAATAAATAACAATATTTCTTTTTATTTCTTCTTCTTCTTGAAAAGAAACAAAACAAGTCGGTAACTTTATAAAGTCATGTTTAGCGAAGCGCCACACATTCAAAGGATTTGTTGGAAGGTATCATAGGTAATGGATAGAGGTGGCGGCCGTAGAATTAGTCTAACTTCTGATGTATTTTCTGGTGCATGTAGTGTTTCCCTATGTCAAAAGGAATTCAAAACTTCATTTAGTTTACGGCGTCATATTTCATGTATCCACAACAAGTCATTACCATCTAAAGACCCAGACGGATATTACTCATTAGACGGAGCGATCATTGAGCATATCGAATTGACAAAGAGCAGTACATCTCGCAAAACACAGAAGCATAAGCCAATAGTTCTAAAAGATGCATGATGATACCAGCGCGTTAGATGGGTCAGCTACCGACTGGTTTTATTTATCTCCATGTGATTTTAATGGACATATTGCATAAATCAGCGCAGCTGTGATATTCGTGGATAATAACTTAAGCCCTGACGCCAAGTCACACATGCTCTTGATGGTGATTATATTTTGCCCATGTTATCTATCTTTTTTTGTCACACTGCACACTATGATAAATGATCGAGAAGCCCAGTATATATCGATTCAGATCCGTTATTTTTGGTTAACTCCTTCCTGGAATGTTACCGGGCGATTTTCTTTATTCAGGCAAAACTAAACTTTGTCCATGGAAGTAACATAGATACAATAACACGTCGAGTCAAGGTGGAGGCAGGTCATTGACCTCAGCTAGAACATGCAATCCACTATCTATATCTTTGGCAAGAACGAGACCAGAGCTTTCTTTCTTTGTGATTTCCGGAATGGTTTCTTGCTCTCGAAGGGATGTGAATAGATTTGCAAGGATTTCAGACTTCCATCCACGATGTGCGGTTATTGAAGGTATATGGAGCATCTGCATGCCGTACTTCTGTCTCAATATAGCCACCAATATTGTTATAGCCCATGCTTGTGATGAATAGGGTAATGGTGACACATACGCATTACAGAAAAAAGGATACAGCAGAGCAAATACTGGAAAAGGATGCAACGGCGTGGTGTTGCACGAGTGAATTCAAAAGTTCAATAGATACATATAGTGTCCTGACTGTATCAACCTGAGTGTGTTCAACATCTTCCTTGGCGATGCTGCTGCTTGATCCTTCCATGACGAGCCGACCACGGCCATTAATGTCGTAGCCTAGGCCATCGTGATGCTTCATAAAGGAAAACTGGACCGTGAATACAAATTTATCGCTGGAGGTAGTGCAGAATAAAACCATCATTCTGCTTTGCTTGGAGACTATCTGGCGACCAAGGCCGGACCTGGATCGATTACAATGGCGGGGTATCGACTTTCACTTTATTGACGCAGCTACAAGATCAACAGGGGTAACTCCATTGGCAAGTGCTCCAAAGCTTGGGTGTGTCGAAGACAGTGGGATGTGCTTTGCGTGTACATTATGGGGCTACTGCAGCAAAACCACGAGAGAGTAGGATAGGAATGAGCGAAGATCATACAGTATTCCTTAAATATATCAACCATGAATCGAAAGCGTCAGCACCAGCTTCCGGCTCGACAATTGCTAACTAGGTCAAGGACATATTACAATTGTCAGGTGTAGATCAACAAAATTTAAAGCTCACTCAACACGTTCTGCGGCCAGTATAAAAGCCTTCTTAGAAAGGATTGACATAAGAAAGTTGAGATATCATGCAAATTGGAGTCAGAGGTCAGATACGTTTGAAAGATATTACTTTAAGCCGAGAAAACAGCATATAGAAGGTACCAGAATTGCCAAAGCGATATTCCAACAAACCACACCATTAGTCCTTACGAAAAAGAATATTACATCCGAAGTCGAATCGAAGTAAATTATGATTGAGATAAATATACCTCTCAATTCTAAAGTTGACGTAGAGGAGACTGGGGATGTGGCAAGGTCCCGCCCATGGTATAGAAAATTCTTTTAAAACATCCACCCATAAAAAAAAATATATATGTTTGTTATTAGAAAGGGATAAGGATATGAACTAAAAATCTTTATTGTTATATTACAGAAAATAAAGCATGGGTGGAAAAGCCTATTACCACACCCTAAGTCTCCTCTACGTCAACTTTAGAATTAATGAGTTATTCTGCTTTCATATAGATTCGTAACTATCCGCTTACTTTAGAAATTCATACAAATCATTACTGCTTGTTGACAAACCAGCATAATCCAATGCGACTAAGCAGACCTTCTCAGTGTTTGTGATAAACCTCAACATGTCTATATAGTCGAAATAAGTAATCTATTAATTTGGATATATACAATGTATCGCTGATTTGCTTATCCTGAGTGTTTTCTCCTGCATGTAAATATTTATATATTTCACTCGTTTGTTTTAAATCATTTTTACCAACCAGTCGTTAACTTGAGAGGTATATGATGCGAAAACATAATCAACTAGTGATCTTTCCTTTAGACGCTTGTAAAAGCCTTTTTCACAGTTCATTTCTTAGGGGGTAATATTTCGGGTTGGGCCGTAGATGTCTTAATACGCGATTGTTATTGATACGCATGCCTCTAAGACGAGGGCATATTTTCGCTTATGTGAAAACGAGTGCGAGTGGACAGGTAGAGGAGAAGAGGTAAGCCTGGTTTGTTTTTGTCTTTTCTGTACGCGGTTCATTGAGTCATACGGATTTGAAGATTGGCCTTTAAGTAATTTTACATGCTGTCAACGGACGAGAGAATAGTACTGGTGTTGTCGGATGCGCAGACTGCTATTGGCTGTTTTCGTTGTTGTAGTTTGATAATCTTGAAATTTCCAGCTGGAGATCGTTTTGATCAACATGTTGGGACTGCAGTTCGGTAGCCTGGCACTGTAGAGCTGAGAGAGTCAAGTCACTCGGATTGATCAGCTTTAAGTTATTTAGTTGAGGTGCTCTTTTCACATCATAAAAAGATCTGAATATTAAAAGTGATGATTTAAAGTTTTCACTGATATTATTTATGCTTATATTTTATGGAAACTCAATTAGCTGTCTTAATTCTTCAAAAAAGAAGCCGTAGTTACTTTCTATTTCGATACTGGGCATTATCTACAAGCTTACCGTGTTACGTCTGATCGACTTATGATTGGCTTAAAGTATTCTCCTAATACTCCGTCAAAATTTATAGATCGTCTCTCTTTTTTTTGATGTATCACTTTTAGCAGTAACACCATGCATTTTAATCAATTTTCATCTATACCGCGATTTTTTGTTTCTTTTCGTTTATTAAAAAGATCTTATTCGATGACAGCTACAATTATAGACGGAAAAGCTATTGCACAGTAAGTAAATACTATGTGAAAATGATATCAAGTGTTAATAATACATAAAGATCTGTTCGTGATCAAGTCAAGTCATCAATTGCCAACACAAAGCAAACATATCCCCAATTTGATCCTCGTTTGGCCATTCTATTAGTTGGCTCTCGTTCTGATTCGACTACTTATGTCAAGACAAAGGATAAGGCTGCTAATGAAGTAAGTTTAAAGAAAATGACCGCTTTTTTAGTGCAAAGGATCATTGATTATGCATATGTGATCTATAGGTTGGCATTTCAATCGAGATGAACAAACTGCCCGAGACAATAAGTCAAGAAGATCTTTTGGCTAAAATAAAGCAGTTTAACCTGGATGACAAGGTGCATGGCATCCTTGTTCAAATGCCTTTACCTTCACATATTGATGAAGACGTCGTGTTGGAGAGTATTGATTATAAAAAGGATGTGGACGGGTAAGATTCAGTAAACAATGATTAACGACACAAAGGTAATTAAAGGACTTATAGCTTTCATCCTTTTAATATCGGCAAGATGTGCAAGAGAGCAGGCAAGCCTATGTTTATTCCATGCACACCAAAGGGTATCATTCATCTTATCAAGACCACAGGCATTGATATCAGTGGCAAACGAGCTGTAGTTATCGGTCGTGGTGACATTGTTGGATCACCCGTTGCAGCCTTGCTAACGGCTGAGGATGCTACAGTGACACTTTGTCATTCGAAAACTAAGGATATTGAACGTATTGTTCAGGAGGCTGATATTGTTGTTGCAGCAGCTGGAAAGGCTGAACTTGTCAAAGGTAGCTGGATTAAGCCTGGTGCTATAGTGATCGATGTTGGCATGAATGCTGTGGATGGTAAATTGATTTTTTTTTTTTGCTATATACAGCACAACTAAATTGCTTATAGATCCTACCAAGAAATCAGGATATCGCTGGGTTGGTGATGTAGAGTTTGAAAAGGCAAAAGAAGTAGCATCCTTTATTACACCTGTACCAGGAGGAGTAGGTCCAATGACCGTTGCTATGCTCATGGAAAACACAATGCTCAGTGCTCAACGCTGGTTATCTATAAATGACTCCAAATAAAGTGTAAAAGTAGGGCTTATGATAAAAACTTAAAGTGGGCTTATGGTAGCTTAGTTTTTGCACTCCGTTCAATTTTTGGTACCTTTCTTTTCTTTTCTTTTTTCCTTCATCTCGTATTAACAATGATTGGAATTGACGAAATTCTCAAAAAACGTAAAAATAAAGAAGAAGGAATATTTAATATATAGCTAGAACAAGTGATTTCATCTTAGGTTTTTTGGAATTAATAAAGTCAGTTCAGCCAACTGGAAGATGGAAGCTTGTGGTTGTTGACAGTCTTTCTTCCAAGATACTAAATTCTGCTTGTAAAATGTATGATATTTTGGAAGAAAATGTAAGGCACCCCTTTTTTATTTTGTTGACTTGACATCCGTAGTAATAGTTACTGATATATTCATAGGTTACTTGTAAGTTTATTTACTGTTGTTGTCCCTTTTAAACTCATCCTTTTTCTTTCCAAGTGGTCGAAAATATCGAAAAGCCAAGACAGCCTTATCCTAGTTATGAAGCTGTCTATATCCTTACACCATGCATCGAATCATGTACTCGTCTCGTAGACGATTTCTCTCGAAAAGATGGGCCAATGTATGCTGCAGCTCATGTTCACTTTATCAATGGTATTATTTTATAAATGGCAGCAAGAGGAAGGGGTAATAACATGTATAAATAGCTTTGGATAATAATGTATTCAACGAGTTCACTCGTATGCTTAATGCTGCTAATGCTGCCAATCACATCAAAAGCTTAAAGGAAATGTATGTGGATTTCATAGGTAAAGTAATTTTTATTCAAAAGAATATTGCAGTTCTTTAAGTTCTTTATATAGTACGCGAGCAGTGTGTTTATACTCTTGACAATGAAAACAAATTCCACACTTTATTTGGTAGCGACGGATCAAACACGTCGCAGACTGAAATGCAGCTGGACGATATTGCAAAGGAGGTAGAAGAATCAATTACTGCTGCTTTTTCTTATTTCTCATCCTATTTAGCTTTTATGCGTTTGCGTGACCCTTGGTGAAAGTCCATTGATCAGATACCATCGTCCTCTGGATGAAAAAGGAACGATTAATCGAAAGATACCTGAACATTTAGCAAAACTAGTTCAAGCAGAACTTGATAACTTTTGCGCTACAAATCCAGAATTCCCTGTAGGTGTTGCGAGCTTTTCATTGTATAAAGATCTAATTTTTTTTTTTT